GGGCTACAGGCACCACAAGTGGATTGCTGGGCTGCTCAGGCTCCCGAGCTGATGGGGGGAGAGGGAGGGAGAGTGTCACATGTTCCTCATTCCTGATGGTATGCAGCGACTTCTACTGGAATGTGCGCTTCATTGTGTTTGGATGGCGGGTGAAGGTAGAGGCTGCTTCATACAATATATGGTACATCAAGCCTCCACTGGCTCTCCCTCACACACCAAGAAGAACAACAACTTGCATTTACACAAGCGCCCCTCACCCAGGGTAGCGTCTCAGAGCGCTTACAGTGGCAGAGCACAACACAGAGCCGGGGGTGGGGGGCAGCGGAGGTGACCGTAGGCACGGTCGAAGAGAAAGGTCTTCAGTAGGAGTAAGGAGTAAGACCGAGAGTTAGAGGAAGAGGGTTCCAGAGTTTCAGGGCGTAGCGGCTGAAGGCACGGCCACCGATGGTGGAACAGAGAGCACAGGGGAGTCTTACGATGTGAAACACTCCACACTCTCAAACTTCAGAGCCCTCCATTGACTGTGGTCTATAACGCGTAGCTAAGCTTATTGTTTTACTGTGTAAACTCTGTTTTTTCGACGCAGCAATCAAAAAAGCGGTAGAAACCGCTCAGCACCTGTTGGTTGCTTAGTAGTTGAAGTGCCAAGTCAGCGACTTCAGATCTCCATCTCACTGTGGCAGCTGCCACTTTTGACTAGTCACAATATTTAACATACCCTGGGCGCGGAGGAAAAAAGCTTTTATGTAATACGAAAAAGCTGCAGGATATTCAATACTCAAAAGGAATTGAATTTCTTTTGCTTGTTTCTCTATGATCTCGGCCTTCCACCCATCTGAAAATAGGCACAGGCACGACAAGTCGTTTTCTAATCCCAGTGGTAATACGGCTACTTTATCATATTTAGTTTCCTTCCAGCATTATTTAGACGCATTCGCACCTGAAATAAAACACGGTATGTGCGTGCGTGTGTGTGTGTATGTGTGTGTGTGAAGCTTTCCAAATGACATATTCAACGTGCCTTTATGTGAGATTATTGTGAGGACACAAAACCAGCCATTTTGCGGGTGGTGATTTGCAGAAAAGTATCATAATTTACCGAAGGGAGGTCCGCTCAGGCTGTATTTTGTTTGTCCTCGTCACTCGACTGGTTTTTAAATGGCAGAAAGGGAGCAGCTGGTAACTGCTGTTCGTCCACCTCAGTTATAGCGGATCATAAACTCCAAAAACTGCGCGTAAGGAAACTTTGCGTCGTTGTATTATTTGGTTGATTAGGAAACAGTGCGCTCACGAGTTGGATGTTAAACAGTTGCTTCCTTTATTATATATAATTCCACAGTCAATGATTAAACAAAGAGCAATGACCCCCCACCCCCACCACCACCACAAGACAACAACAACAACAGCGACAACTTGCATTTAGATAGCGCCTCTCACACAGGGTTGCATCCCAGAGCGTTCGAACTCGCTGGAGCCCGACCCCAAGCCAGGGGGGAAGGAGGGAGGTGACCTTCGAAGGGGAAGGTCTTCAGGCGCTTACCTGAAGATGGGGAAGGACGGGGGCAAGGCACGGGGATAGAGGGAGAGTGTTTTAGAGGAAGACACGATAGTGGGAGAGACCAGGATGTCGAGAAATAAGCATTGATAATTGTCCTAGCCCTGGAATAGCCCGGATGTCCTTTATTGTTGAAGCTCGTAGGCCTGCCCACGGCGTTTTATTCTGCATCAATTACTGTTGTTAACATTTTATGTTAAGTACATCTATTGTTAACATTTTATGTTTAACTCTTTCCTTACACGGTGGTGTGTCGTTAATGTTGGTGAGCGTGCAGCAGAAAATGGCTTCCAGAGAACCTGGAGTTAACACCATACACAAGTCTGCCCAGGCTGTATTTTTTTTTACATTTAACGTTGTATTACTTTTAACATCCAGATCTGGAATGCAATGAAAGGGTGGTAGAAGCCGATTCGATAACAGCTTTCAAGAGAGAAGTGGATCATTATTTGGGGAGGACAAGGTTGCAGGGCTATGGGGAGAGAGGGAGCGGGGAGTGGGATTGATTTGGTTAGCTCTTTTTAAAGAGCCAGCACAGACACGATGGACCGAATGGCCTCATGCTGCGCTGTATAATTCCATGATTCTATGAACATTTCCAGTTGGCTCAGGAACCTAACACCATCTCCAGATTAGATCTGTTTTTTGGTTCAATTTGCTGAGCAAAACACAAAGCAGTGGGTATGCTATTCCCTTACAGTCTCAGGGAGCTAGTCCTATGAGCCATGGAACCATCATTACACAACCATGTATGTACTTCCAGCTTGTAATAACTAGAAACTATTTGTGTTGAATCCACTGACGTTCCCTGATCTTTACTTCTAAATACCAACTTGCGTCGAACAGCAGTTTCTCCACAGAGAGAAGAGCAATGTCATTTCCATATCCCCAATGCCTTCAGGACATTTGCACACTGTGACTGCCAACGTGTGATAAATAATACAAGGAAGCTGGTGCTATTACAGGAGGGTATTTCAGGATGTCTCAAGTCAAAGTGACAGGAAGGAGAAGGAATAGAGCTTCATAAGCCGGGATTCTGGTGTAACGTGGCAGAGATGCAGATTTTCCCGTTGGAAATCCCATAGTTCAAGTTATTGTTACATTAATTAACAATAAATAAAGAGCTAGGAGGTAACTTTTAATACTAATTTCCATCTCTAAAGAAAGTTGAAGTACATCAACTACATCATGTATATTTTTTCATGCATGAGGAGAACAATTCCCCCTAAAATGGACTGTCTTTTCCGATTATAATGATGTGATGGATTGGATGCTTGCAAAGTTTGGGAATGTCATCTCAACGCATTTGATGTGTTACTGTGACATAACAAACTCCGGTCTGGGTGTTGTCCTATACTTTAAATACTAAATACAAGAACCAATCATGTCCGAAATGGGAGCATTTTACGTTGCAGGCAATGCTATTTAATATGTTCTGGAATTATTGTATAAAATAGTGCTGGGGGCTGAGAGCTGGAGCAGGAAATCCTCCTCACTGAGTATCATGAGATGATTTATCTTCAAACTCCAAGCAGCTTAAAGACAACTCAACAACAACAACAACTTGCATTTATATAACGCCCCTCACACAGGGTAGCGTCCCACAGCACTCCGCCTCTCGCTTTCCATCTCCTCTGATCAAATCTCCGGTGATCTGTTGCAAATCTCTGCACCCTCCTCGCCCCCCCCCCGCCCCAATCACCCCCTCCAAACACCCTATTACTGCTCAACACTCAAAGGAAAAGGCCATTCAGCTAATGTTCCAAAGGATTGTTTTGTTAATTTGTTTTTAATGTTATGTTTAATGTTATATTGCATCCTGATTCATTTCAGAGCAATTTTCATCCTGGGGCTAAGTTATGTATTAAATTTTTCTGTGCTGCAATTTTCTGCATAAAACAAATTAGAATATATAGTTACACCTTTAAAATATCAGTGACTACTTATTAGAGTCTCAGTACTTGACCATATCAGGAGCAATTCGCGGTTCATAACATTTATTTTTTCACATGCTCAACAGTAATTTTTCTTTTTTTCTCCCCGTTTTCTCTTGAACAGATTCTTCAATTTCTACGACAGAGGTCTCAGTGAAAGGCCTTATGGAGCTCACAAGATCACAAGGAGATACAACAGCAACAAAATTACATTTATACAGGGCCTTTCAGATCAGGAGGACGTCCCGAGGCTTTGGACAACCAATGTTTTGGACCTGAGCTGCGGTTCGGGTTCGGGGAGGGTGGAGGGCAAGGGGGGAAGCGGGGTGATCAAAAGCACGGTCGAAGAGGAGGGTCTTGAGATGGGTCTTGAAGGTGGCGAGGGAGGGGGCGAGGCGGAGGGATTGTGGGATGGAGTTTCAGAGGGTAGGGGCAGAGTGATTGAAGGCCCTCCCGCTAATGGTGGGGCGGGTGAGGCGGGGGACGTGAAGCAAGCCGGATAGATCCAGGTAAAGACAAAGCCTTCAGTCCATTTAATGTCATCCTTCCAGAACACTCATCCCGCCTTCTCCCTATTGAAGAATCAAGGAGCATCTTAGTAAATGAGATATTTAATTGAATGAAGAAAATATTCTTGGAACAATACTTTCCGATGTGCCAAGTTAGCTGGACAAGAGGACAACAGGAGTGTGAAGGGAAGTTTAGGAGAGAAATCAATAAGTATTTCTTTACACAGAGCATCGTCGAGATGTGGAGCGGGTTACGATAATAATTAGTCAACAATAATAACCCTGGCATTTGCTACAGCGCCTTATCACATCTTCCAGACGTCTCGAAACGCTTCACGGGATATATATATATACAACAACAACAAGATTCCAAGATATATAGATATACTGCAAAGTGTAGTGACCGTATATTTTGTGGGCGAAAGACGGCAGCCAAGGACGCGCCAGCAGCCGGCGTCCCGCGAGCAACTCGTGGGTTGGATCGACTGACCAAATCATTATTATCGTTATTACCGTTATTATCAGTATTTTTTTATTGATTGATTGATTGATTGATTGATTGATTGGTTGATTGGTTGGTTGGTTGGTTGGTTGATTGATTGATTGATTGATTGATTGATTGATTGATTGACGGGGGATTAGTACCGATTATCACTTGGCGGTGAGGCGCTTCGAGACGGGATAAGGCTCTGCGTCAAATGCCGGGATTATTATTATTATTAATTATTGTTGTTGTGGTCGTGATGGAGAGGGGGTGGGGGCAGTGGGTGGGTGGGGGCAGTGGGTGGGGGCAGTGGGTGGGTGGGGGCAGTGGGTGGGGGGAGTGGGTGGGTGGGTGGGGGGAGTGGGTGGGGGGGGGGGGGGAGTGGGTGGGGGGAGTGGGTGGGGGAGTGGGTGGGGGGAGGGGCAAAAAAAGCCAGAAGGTGAGAGGGAGAGAGAGACACTGCGCCTTTAAGAGGCTGAACGCATGCGCAGAAGCGGGAACACCCCCTCGCCGTGTGACCCGGAAGTGACTGTCAGGAGGACCGGGACACGTAGCAGCAGCGGCGGCGGCGGCACCGGCACTGGGTAAGGCTCCCCGGGGGGGCTCGGGGGAGACCCCCCACCGGGTACTGGTGATGGGGGGAGCGGAGAGGAGGCAGCGACCCCCCACCCTCCCCCCTCCCCCCCGGATACAGCTGCTCAACCGCAGGGCCTCGGGCTCGTTCTGGCCCACGGACACCAGCCTGGGCTGAGGGGGGGGTGGGGTGGGGGGGTATTGGGGGAGATGAGGGGGGGAAGGGAAGAGATGGGGGGGAAGGGTATTGGGGTGAAGGGGCGGTTATGGGGTAGAGGGTGGGAAGGGGGTTGGGAATGGGGGGGGGGAGGGGGGGGTGTTGGGGTCCTGTCCTGTCACAGGTGGTGTCCCCAGTGATGCAGTGTCTTGAGAGTGGACAGTGTGTCTGTGGCCCCCACTGTGATGTCTGGGGTGTGGGGATGGGGATGTGTGGTGGGGTGTGCGTAGGGGGTGTGTGTGGGGGGTAGGGGTGTGTGTGTGGGGGGTGTGGGGGTGGGGTGTGTGTGTGGGTTGTGTGTGTGGGGTGGTGGGGGTGGGGTTGTGTGTGTGGGTTGTGTGTGTGGGGTGGGGGTGTGTGTAGGGGGTGGGGGGGGGTGTGGGGGGTGGGTTTGTGTGTGTGGGTGGGTGTGTGTGGGGTGGGTGGTGTGTGTGTGGGGTGGGGGTGTGTGTGTCAGACAGACACCCCGACCACCCTTTAGACCGGGAGCCCGGTGTGAGCCGGGATCAGACAGCGATCAGCGGGAGACGAGGCCTTGACCCGCTCAGCGATCGCCCTCCGTTTGTCCACTCGGAGCGTTGATCCTCTTCGAGGCTTCCATTCGATCCGACGTCCCATCGTTTCTGTCATAAGTAAACGCCCCATTAAACGTCGGCGGGAGTCGAGCCAGGTCCACGTCGGTGGTCAGAGAACGTAGTGTTGCAGCGCTTCCCGCGGGTTAGGCTTCCTTCGGGCAAATTGGGTCCAAATGGACCTGACCATCCCATGATTCTCCGTCTCGGGGAGGAGGTGAGCAGGGTCTCCTCAGGGCTGAACTGACCCCGAGGCCGCCAGCTGAACAGAATGCTTGCCCGCAGAGTATCGGAATCGAGTCAGCCCTCTGTGACGGTCTTGGTACCCGAGTCGGACAGATCGACTGCTCGGGTGATATGGCATCACCTTTCTCCAGCTGGATGACTTTCGTGTGTTGAGTACAAGGTTTAGCCGATGTGGCAAATCCTTGTTCAGAGATATCAATCTTTCTCACCTGACCCCTGTTCTACACGGACTCGATCCGCGACTGTTTGTGTGGGGACGCTGCCGTGCGCAATTGGCTGCCATGTTTCGCCCACAAATTTATACAGTCAGTTCACTTCACAGTGTACCGCGTGAAGCGCTTTGAGACGCGATAAGGTTCTACGTCAAATACAAGGATTATTATTATACAGAATTGCTGTGAATTTATTGATGTGCTCAGTGTAAGCTTCGCCCTGTTGAAAGAATACTCCAGACTGTGTGCTCAATAACAATCAACTATTTGTTTTCACAGCCCATCAGGTGGTTCGCCTTTTCATAGGGTTTTTGATTCGTTTAAAAAAAACATCTTCAACAGATAATTTCGAATGTTTGGTTTTGCCTTAATTTTCTGATTTCTTGAAAATTACTTTCAAGTACAAAAATGGCCGATTTCTGAGTCATACAGTTGTCACTGACGTTACCCTCTGCTGTCTATAGAGGCTAAACGTCATTAAACATTGTCTTGTACAGGTTGAGCGCTTGCTGCCGTTGGATCTCTCTCATTCAAATAAATGTGCTCCCAGTTTTCAAGGGCTAATTTGAGCTAATGGCAAAACTACTTCTGTAACTCATTGGGGATAGAGATTCGAGAGCAGGCGATGTGCGGCGGAGGGAAAAAAATGACTTAATTGGAAAATCAGAATATATGTAGTTTCTCGCAATTTTTTTTAAACATCCGAAGATTTTCCAATAAAGTGTGAAGGTTAGGAATACCTCCACAGTGTGAAACGTTTCGAGGATTTGGCTCTATGTTTTCATCCTGACTTAAAGGATTTCTATCTTTGTTCAGTTGTAAATGAATGGCCCCAGATTGTCACAGGATCTCGGTGTTAAAGATCTCCTTCACTTCAGCAACGGATCAGATCTGAGCAATCTCCCAAGCACGTTGAAATATTACACATTACATCCAGGCAACAACAACAACAAATTACACTTGTACAGCGTCCTTCACGTCCGAAAGACGTCCCAGAGTGCTGGATGGTCAGGGTTAGGGTTTTTTTACCCGAGCTCGGAGGCAGATCTGTGATATCGCATTGCAATGGATTCAGTGGGGATGAATAAATAGGACGTTGGCAATTAGTGCAGGTGTATTTGTTACAGTAGCGCTGAGTGCTGTAGGGCCATTTACCTCCCGTGGTTCAGTCGTTGGCAAACCCTGCAGCCTGCAATGGATCTGCTGTGGTTGCAAATGACTTTTTAATTCATCAGAGCAACTTGTACTTATATAGTGCCCTTCACGTAGGATAATGTTTTTTCAACGCTTCACAATAACTGGGTCGGATGCGAGCAAGGGAAGAAGGGTGGGGCGGGGAGGTATGATCGTAAACGGGCGTGATTGAAGATGTAGGGATTAAGGAGGGATTTCAAAAAACAGGAGGAGGTGAAGGGAGGGGCAGAGGGAAGGAGTTCTACAGGTTAGAGGCCTAGTAAACGAGGACTGAGCCACTGATGGTGTTACAGAGAGGCGAGAAGGTACCAAACCCAAGATAGCTGTGAGGGGGGGGAGCAGAGGAGCAGGTCAGGAGAGAATGAGAGGGATGGAGAAATGTTGGGGTATGAGGAGATTTATAGACGAGTCGATTTGAAGTCGATTTGTTGGGAGCCAGTGGAAATTGGCGAGGGCTGGGGTGATGGGGGCGTGGCATTTGCTGTGGGTGAGGATACAGGTGGTAGAGTTTTGGATCGGCTGGAGCTTTTGGATGGGGGAACTGAGGAGACCGGCGAGGAGGGCGTTTGAAAAGTCTGGGCGGGAGGTTTATATGCTATCTGACGTAAACCTCCCAATTGCTAGTTCGTAAAGGTTCCAAGATCAATGGGACTGAATTGATTTAAATGTACTGATGCCTTTCAAGCTCAATTCCAATATGAAAGTTAAGAGAGCTCCAAGACGCCAACCCACGCGAAAGGTGCAATCTCAATGTTGTCGTCATATTTTCAGTGCGGAAACCTGTTGTTTTGGGGGAGCAAATGAATTCACAACTTTGCAAGCTACGTTGTTTAGAATTTGCCGAGTTAAATCTTAAAAGCCAAGCAATTGGAATTGCACCAAATGGGGAACCCAATTCCCCCCATTTTCTGAGCTTTTGATTGCACTTTTCCACTTCAGAGCTTCAATGTTCTGCACGTTTTTCTCTCTCTTTGCCAAACTGGAGTTCCTGCTGATGACAAGAGTTAGCTTGAACTACTTGGTAAGAGTGAAACATTCTAGAGTACTACAAAATGGACTCTTAACCCTGTCACGATAGCAGGAGAGAGAAAGAGATAAGTGCAATGCTGCTAATCATCGATTGGACCGGCTATAATGTGATTTTGCAGCGTGTCAAACTTGATACACTCATTAAGCATAGATGGACCTATGAACCAGCCCCAAACAAGAGGCTGTTAGCTTAATCCGTGGCTTTTGATACAGTGCAACCCTATTGTGACGGACTTCTTTACAGAGCTCCATTCAGTGCGCTTACACAGCAAACGGGAAGCGGCCCAGGGAGTGTGACCTGATGACAAAAAGGTTGGCCATGTTGCTGCCTTCAGCACAGGAACCAGGCGACGTGCAAGAAGGAGTCAGTCAGCAGTGTGCACGCACAGTGATATCGGCGATCGCGCCTTGTTGGGATTTTACAGATCCATTATAACATGGCTCGCGTCTTCGAGACGCCTCAAAGGGCTTCACAGAATATAACTGTAAAGTGTGGTGACGACATTTGGTGGGTGAAACACGGCAGCCAATTACGCACAGCAGCGTCCCACACACAGCCGTGGACTGAGTGACCTAATTATTATTTTTGGAGGGGTTATTACCTCCGGGAAAACGATCCGCCAGTCGACTAACAAACAGGTTCCTACTTACTGCAGGGTAAACCGGGGCGTGTAGTGTGAGGAAACTTGCCAAATGTTTGGCCCTGCCCGGGAATCGAACCCAGGTCTCTCGCTTGCGAGGCGAGTGCTCTAACCACTGAGCTACATGTAGAACAATGTGACTCAAATTTGCATGGCACTATTCAGCGGGACTGCATGGCGGAGGCTTGATCTGCTGCAAAGTGGAAACTTGTTTGTCTACACAGCAGTAGGTGAGCAATTGTAGATCACACGAGTGTGATTCTCGACAAATGCAATTTACTGTTTCTGTTGGAGACACTTATCTGAAATAGCCGCGCAAATGGAAATCCAGCGCCAAATTAGTTTGTGGGTTTTTTTTTGGTTTGGAGAATTGCCCGTCTCGGTGCACAGTGTTTCAGCCATGATTATAACGACTTAAAAAGACCTGCGGTAACTGTAAACACACACCGTTTGCAGAGAGAAAGGGTTGAACTGCTGCAGTTCTACCTTGTGCTGGGTTTGATGAGTAGCCTGTTTTGCCGTCTCTCTGGGAGGAGAAGCTTGATCCTTTGTTAAAGTTGATTATAAACACTAAACAGATAAATTTAAAGGCACTTTACTAGAATACTATTGGCTGCCGCCTTTCGCCCACAAAATGTAGGGTCAACTCACTTTGCAGTGTATTCTGTGAAGCCCTTTGAGATGACTCGAAGACGTGATTAGGCGCCATATCAGATGCAAGGATTATTATTATACTAAAGGCAGCATTATCTTGTTGCAGGTTATAAAACAAGCTCTGTGCTAAAGAATTACTTTTTTTTAACTCTCCTTTTCTTCCTGTTACAGTGAATTAGTTGCAATGTCTCAGTTTAACACAGAATTCTACCCGACAAGTTATCATGTTGATGACCAAGGCCAGAGTACCTATGACTGCAGCGCTGCAGGGGATCCTTCCCAGGACAGGTCAGTACTTGAGATCTAATTGTATCAGGACCTCGCCAAAAGGATCCTTATTCCTACCTTCATAACATGACTTGCTCTAACACCAGGTCTCTGCAATCGTGGTGTTATCAGGGAATAGGCAGGGTGCGTGATGGGGGTGGTGGGCTGAGGGTGGGGAAAGAAAGATAGCTCCACACTGCTGTGTAGTGCCCTGGGATGCCTTTCCAACGTGAAGGGCGCTATATAAGTGTAATTCGTTGTTTGTTATTGTTGTAATCTATTTACTGAGCGTGCACCGGTGATGGAATTCATCTGGATAGCAACTGGCATTTGTCGAGACCTCAAATCGGGAGTGAGCCGGGGTCTGCTCGCCTGATATTTGTTGCTACCCGGATTTATTGTGTGCGTGTTCTGTTGTTGAGGGTAGTGCGCATTGCACAGTATGCAGTCAATTCACTTGGAAGTACAGTGCATTCTGTGGGCGGGCCAACTGAAACGGGGGGGGGGGGGGTGGGAGAGGGCCGGATGTGGCTCGGGGGCCGCCAGTTGGACCACCCGGTTTTAAATTAGGGAAGCAGCACGTCGTTTCTGGCTCCAAACGCAGAGCGGAACCAACTTTCCTTTTGCTCTTGCGTGCAGGCAGTATAACAGTTACCCTCAGCAAGCCGGGTACGTGTACCCAACAATGGCACAACAACCCTATACAGGACAGATCTACCAGCCAACACAGACCTTCACTCCGAGCTCGCCACAGTCCATGTACGGCAACAGTTTTGAGGATGAAGCCCCATTGTTAGAGGGTAATAAATGGCTTTTTTTTCCTCCTTGGCTTTCTCCGAAACTTAAATCACCCCAGTTAAGAAGCCGGTGCCTGACTTGTGCTGCTTATTCTCAGCGTTTGATGAAGTTTTAGCTTAGAACGATGTTCGAAACAGATCCGTACAAAACCTTTCCTGCACACAAAAAAAAATTAAATCATTGGGGTCACTTCAACCCACGGCTGTTTGTGGGGACGCTGCTGTGCGCAATTGGCTGCCGCGTTTCGCCCACAAAATACACAAGTCAATTCACTTAACAGTATATCCTGTGAAGCGCTTTGAGACGTCTCAACGACGTGATAAGGCGCTGTATCAAATACAAGGATTATCATTATTATATCTTACTATTACAGCTGTTACAATATTGCCCTGATCGATCCAGATGGAAAATCGAAACTGATTTGCGTTACCTTTCATTTTTATTCTGCGAATTCCACAGAGTTGGGAATTAACTTTGACCACATCTGGCAGAAGACGCTCACAGTTCTCCATCCACTGAAAGCCTCTGATGGCACCATCATGAACGAGACCGACCTTGCCGGCCCCATGGTGTTCTGTCTGGCGTTTGGAGCCACATTGTTACTGGTAATGCTACGTTTTCTGTGACTTGCCCACACACTCCCCCAACCTCACTTAAGCGATCGACATCTGCTTTGGGAGTGTCGCTTTTTATCCACACGATTTGTTTTAACTGGATTTTTTTTTATTCAGGACCGGTTTACTTCCCCGTAACAACAACAACAACAACAAGATTCCATTTATAGAGCGCCTTTCACGTCAGGAGGACGTCCCAAGGCGCCCATAATCACGGTTTTACTGTTCAGCGCCTTGGGACGTCCTCCCGACGTGAAAGGCTCTGTACAAGTGTCATTTTGTTGTTGTTTTTGTTGTTTCTTCCCAAGGAGGTTGGCAATGAAGGCGAGACCTTAGTTAGAATGAGGTGCTATAAGCTTGCCACAAGCCATTTCAGACTTGTCATTTATTTTTCTCGCAGAGCCGCAGCTCTCAGGCCACCATAACTGCTCTCCGGGAAGATTTTCAGGCAGTAATTTTCAGAGGGTCTTATCTCCCAAGAGCACGACATTGTGCGAAATGTCCACGAGCAATCGATTCTGGCTGCCACATCATTTAGTGCAGGTGTTTTAGTGCAAACTGTCGCAATTAACGCTATTTTGTACCCTGTCGGTTTTCAGCAGGCAAAGTATCATTTTCAGCTTTCTCCCATCTGGCAGTTGAAATTAATTATAAATGGTTATCTTTACAATGCCATCCTCTCATTTGAACTGCTGTGCAACACTTGTGTGAAAAAGCTGCTTTTCTAGCACTGAATGTTTGTGAAGGCGTGTGTTTTAAATGTGCATTTAAAATGCTGTGCGCAATTGGCTGCTGTGTTTCGACCACAAAATATACAGTCAATTCACTTGGCAGTATATTCTGTGACGCGCTTTGAGACGTGATAAGAGCTATAATCAAATGCAACGGTTATTTGTACCTCTCTTAGTTGAAACAACTCAAAAGTTCTTTACGATAATTTTGAATCTGACGGTGGACTTGGATAGTTGGTCGCCTATGTTTTCAGTGAAACTCTTGCCTTTCTTTTAAAACATGTCTTTCAGGCTGGTAAAATCCAATTTGGTTACGTGTATGGGATCAGTGTCATCGGGTGTCTGGGTATGTACTGTCTGCTGAACCTCATGAGCATGACTGGAGTCTCCTTTGGTTGTGTGGCCAGTGTCCTCGGCTACTGTCTGCTTCCAATGATCATCCTCTCCAGCTTCGCTGTCATCTTCTCTTTGCAGTAAGTATCGGAACCTTAGCAGAGATTAACGATTGGACTTTCATACAATACAAAATTACATTTGCACAGCGCCTTTTCAGGTCGGGAGGATGTCCCGAGGCGCTGGACAGTCGGAGATTTGGACCTGAGTGGGTGGAGGTTGTTGGGGTAAGAGAGGGGTTTGGAGGTAAGGGAGGGTAGGAGTAGGAGGGTGGCCCAAGGCACAGTCGAAGAGCAGGGTCTTGAGACATGCCTTGAAGGCAGGGAGGGAGCGAGGCGAAAGGAATGTGTGATGGAGTTCCAAAGTTCGTTTCACTGTCAATGAAGACTCAATCCAAGGAATCTGTGTAAAATCGTAGGATTCATGTTCGAAGAATCAATGATGTGGAGGTAGTGGCGTTAAAGGCAGAGATACTTTGCAACACTTTGCAATGATTGTTTTCAGGGCAGTTTATCATTTAAAAGTAATTAGGTTTTAGTAACTTCAAACTAAGTCCCACCCATAACATTAACGTCTCGTTGATAACTGAAATTACAAACTCGTTTTTTTATATAAATTGCCCAAACTAAGCCTCTTAACAGCCTCCGAGCGATGCATCGAAACAAATGGATGGTTGATGTCTTGCAACACTGGCAGCATTTATTGAGCAAATCAGTTGCAAAGCAAATCCGGTGTGTATATTGGAAAATTGCTTCTTCAAGCAGTTTTCCCGAGCTGCCTCCCCGTCCTGTTGCTGTAGAAACAGCCCCGCGATACAAACAGCAGCATGATCAACCTTAAAACTACTCTAGCACTTGTTTCGGTCGTGTTTATCTTTCCTAGTGCCTTCAGAAGCAAGGCACAGTGGTATTAAAATGGCTTGCTGTCTCTTTGGTAGAAAACTTAGTCCATTGGCAACTTATTTTGATCACGTTTGCCAACTTTTAACACTGTAGACTGAGGCAGGGCTGTTATTGGAGGCGAAACTGACTTATCTACTTTCGTGCCTGATGTCGTACACCTCTTATAGGTGTTGAAGGATCTGGAAACGGTTGGTGGTGAAGCATCAGTAGTAACTGGAACTCTCTGCCTTTATCCCTCGCCCTTGCCCCTTCCTTCCCCATCCCCATCCCCAAGGCACGGTCGAAGGGGAGGGTCTTGAGATGTGCCTTGAAGGAGGCAGGGGAGGGAGCGAGGGGAAGGGAATGTGAGACGGGAGTTCCAATGGGATGATGAGGGGTTTGACACTGTAAGGAGGGAGAAGCTATTTCCACTGGTAGGGGAGTCAGTGACTGGAGGTTTTAAATACAAGATAGACACACGAAGAGTCGAAGAAGAGCTTAGGACAGTGTTTTCACACACAGCGTAGTTGGGGTGTGGAATATCCTGGCAAGTCAGAGGGTAGAAGCAGATTCCACAGGGAAGTAGACACTTCGGCGAGCGAAGAAATCTTTTATGGAAATATTCCGAGACAGTGGGAGCGAGACAGTTTTCTCTTGAGAGCTGGTGCAGACTCCATGGGCTGAATGGCTTCCTCCTGTGCTGCACATTTCTCCGATACACTCTCCAGATAAGTTGTCGCAACATGCGGAACGCGTTAATACTTTGCAAACGCGTTCTTATCTAATTGTCGCACCGCTGGGAATCCTGCTTCTAATTATGTGCTGATCAAGACTTGAGGTGAAAAAAATAAAAGTGCTTAATTTCTGTCAGTGAGTTCGCTTTATTCCCTTGCCCAAACTGTGGTTTCGCCCACAAAAATACACTGTACAGTGTATCCCGTGAAGGGCTTTTTGAGACGTCTCGAAGACGTGATCAGGCGCCGCATCCAATGCAAGGATTATTATTATTATTTGACACCAGTTTGAACCCTTACTCCGTGTCTTATTGAGCATCTTAGCCACGAATGCAGCAGAGGAGCAGTCGCCATCGCCATTTTGTTTTAGCGAACCGACACGAACCGACCCGCAGTTTAAACAAACCGAACATAATGTGGGGAGGTGGGGGGTTGGGGTGGGGTGAGGGGGGGGTCTGACAGGCCATGTTTCTGGCTCATGGCTGCCATCACCATCTGCTGGCAGCGGATGGGACTGACCAGCTCCGCAGACGAGAGCAAAGCAAAACTTTTTAAGTTGCAGTTTTTACTTTTACTCCGTTCTGCACTTCAGACTTGAACGATGAAGATAGATATTGTGACACTGGAAACGAACTTTGCGGCCGCTCCACTTTACTTAAAGGAAACTTTTTTTTATTTTTTTTAAAAAAAATGTTTCCTTTTTTTTTAATTTACGTTTAAAGCTCCGGCCTCCTATTTATCCCTCGTGCCCTCCATCGGTGGCCGTGCCTTCAGCCACTACGCCCCGATACTCTGGAACTCTCTCCCTCAATCCCTCTGCCCTTACCTGCCCCCCCCCCCACTCCCTCCCCAATCTCAAACCCCAGCTTCCTTTTTGATCGTACTGGCGGTCACTTCACCCCCACCCCTCCCTCCCCCTCCCCCTTGGCTCGGGGTCAGACTCCAGCAATGTGAAGCGCTCCGAGACATCACCCCGCTTGAAAGGTTCCATATAAGCTCAAATTGTTGTTGGCGTTGGCGTCTTGAACGTATGTACTTTTCCTTTAACTCAGGGGATTGCTGGGCATTGTTATCGCTGCTGTTGTTATCGGCTGGTGCAGTTTGTCAGCCTCCAAGATCTTCATCTCCGCCTTGGCAATGGAAGGACAGCAGTTGCTTGTGGCGTACCCTTGTGCTTTGTTATACGGAGTCTTCGCTCTCATCTCGGTTTTCTGAACGCGCTTGCGAACGGAAGAGATCTCCACAGACTGAACTCGAAGCAAAACGAGCACCAAGGCCCCAGTCAACCCCAAGGGGGTCGAAAGCTTCCCAAAACTTCCCCCGCCGACAAAATAATCGAAGGCGCTTCTGATTCCAGGCGTTTGAGGGAACAATCGGACGAATGAAAAACATCTTGTGTTCATAGAATTTTTTTTAAGAGAAGCAAACAAAACACAAATTGCTGCATTAAAAAATATTCCCCATTTCAGTGGTTGAAGTTCTCGCACGTGATGATTAGAAACTAAAAATGATTTCCCATTTCCTTTGGTCTACAGGTGTTAGTAATCGGAGGGAAATGTTTTTGCCTGCATCTTGTAACAAAGTTCAGCGTAGGGGCAAATGTTCCCACCAGTGTACAGTGTGCCTGTACATTTCATTGGGAGGACTTTATTGCGACCACCAGGAAGTATTACTTAGAAGATGGTAGATTAGGGTATAAACAGGCAATGTCTGATTCTCTGCAACTCATTTCTAGTCCCTTATTTAATGTACTTCATGTATCTTAGCAGCAGGAATTGAACACCGTCGCGAAAAAGTTGTATTCCTATTCCGTTCGTGTTCTTTCTGCTTATCGAATCAGTGGACCATAACATTCTGCCTTAGGGAGGGAGGGAGAGAGGGAGGGCAAGGGATCAGAATGTTCTACATGTTTCCCAATGTGTTTGGCCAAAGAAAGTTTCCAATCCAATTTGTAGTTATTCCATGCCCTGCTCCATAATATAAATAAATGGTCAGTTTGCAGATTAATCACTACGCACACACTTGTATTTATCTGACTCATGAAAAACAAGTAATCCCATTCCAGTTCCAGTCTGTATGTGTCAGACGTTTTACTTTCGGTTTTTCTTTTACGATGCTTGATTCTATTTCTTTGAACATTAAAGTCTGGCCCTTAAGTTTATAATAAACTGTTTAAACCCCACTTGGTTTATGTGCAGTGCTCTTGTTTTATTGGGTAACCAAGTTTGTGAATATTGTCCTGTCATGGTACTTCATAGAATCATAGAATATTACAGCACAGAAAGAGGCCATTCGGCCCATCGTGCCTGTGCTGGCTCTTTAGAAGAGCCGCCCAATCAGTCCCACTCCCCGCTCTTTCCCCTTATCCTTGCAAAATGTTTCCTCTTCAAGTACCTATCCAATTCCCTTTTGAAAGATATTATTGAATCTATTTCCACTTCCCTTTGAGGCAGGGCATTCCAGATCACAACAACTCTGTCCTGTCATGGTACTTGGGAGTTAAAGAAATGTTCTTTATAATGCAAAGTAAGGTTCAGTATTGGTGCGTATACACATATAATTTGCCGATTAATATTGGAGTCTGTGTTATTGAAGGTGGAGCTTCTGCTCGAACTAAGACAGAGTTTCTGTTCGAATGCTGGGTTTATAAAAATGAAATTCCATTCTATCCTGTGTATGGTTTTCTATTGGAGACGCGCCCAGTATCAACTCGTTGCTGCAGTTTAAGAATACTGTAATTTACAGCATGTTAGTAACTCCAGTGGTATGATACTGTGTTTTAATAGAGTACAGGATTTCCCCTATTGGCCTGTACAGGACTAACTAGTTTAGTATTTTACAAGACATGTGAATCAAGGCTGCAAAATCTATTCCCCCAATGGCGTTCACCCACAAAACACAGTCACTCCACTTGACAGTATACTCTGAAGCGCTTTAAGACATCGCGAAGACATAATAAGTAGCTATGCCAAATGCAAGTCTTATTATTAAGTGCTTAGAGACAGTATCGGACGGGGAAAGCACTATATAAATGCAAGTTGTTGCTGTAGTACCAAATGTAAGACTTATTATTAATAAATCATTGAAGACATTTCGCTAATATCAAAAACATCAGTTAATGTTTTGGGATTTGTGACAATAGCAGGAAGGAGCCTTGTCCTCTGCAGTCCTTGGCTTCGCTGTGAGTGTAATTCTGTACGGATCCACAAGATGGTGAACTTGACCAGGTTTTATTTCATCTGCTGTCGGATCGCGGATCGCATTTCTAGAATTCCTCCCGGAAAATATCGTCAAAGTGAAAAACGAATGAAGCGATTGCAAACCCGTTGAGTCGCATGTGACTCGAAAGGAAGCAGAGTCATTGTCAGATTCTGGCGTCAATTTTGATCGAGGTTTGGCCTTTTGACGCCTGCTTTTCCACTGATGCCTTTACAGTACGTTACGAGATCTCTCAAACGTGCATCAAAAGCTTGGCTCGTGGTCCTGTGCTATTCAGAGAGAGAGGGAGAGAGAGACGTACATGAATAGAGTTGGGTGGATATTCATTTTCCCGCTTGAGAAAAATCCAATGCCAGAAAATGTTGCAAAAGGAAGGTGTCTTTTTTTTTTCCTAACCCGTTGGCTCCTGATTGTGGTACCATCTCAAAGGCACTCACGGCCTTTCGTGCCTTGTCAATGGGACCATTCTTCAGGACGTTGGGAGTTCCACGAGCTTTCTCTCGTTAATGTGCGAATATTCTCCAGATTTGGGAGAAGGAGACGGAGTTCAGTGTTTGCCAACACGTTTCCAAGCCTGTGTGCGTGTGTGTGTGTGTGTGTGTGTCTATCCCGCAGAACACACACTTCTCATTTTAGCATCGAAGCAACAACAAGTTGAGCTTATATAGCGCCCTCCATGCAGGGTAGCATCTCAGAACGCTTAACAGTGGCGGAGCCTGACTCCGAGCGGGGGGAATGGGAGAGGTGACCCTAAGCATGGCCCAACAGGAACGTTTTCAGGCAGGACTTGGAAAAAGGGGAGGGTGGGGGGGGGGGCGAGGTGGAGGGATTGAGGGAGAGTGTTCTGGAGTTTCGGGGCGCAGTGGCTGAATGCGCGACCTGCGATGGTGGGGCGCGAGGGACGAGCAGGAGCCGGTGCCAGTCGAGCGGAGGCGCTGGGTGGTGGATTGGGGAGTGAGGGAACAGTGAGTGAAGGGATTTGAACACGATAAAAGGTCTTGTGGAAATGTGAAGATTTTCAGCCAGCGCTAATTATGCCAGCGCATGTTTTAGGAATCTAATTGCTATCAGGATGCCCTTCGTGTAAGTATCACATCCAGTTCAGATCAGAAGAAGCCGTGATCAGTATGACCTAGAGCTCAAATGGGCGTCAGATATTCAGGAAAATCCCAGATTAAACAGTCTCCTTGGCTCACACGGATAGATTGCTGAAGGTCGAGCGAGGTGTGATGCTAATGTTTTATAGCCTAAACTTTTTTTTAAAAAAAACCTTAGATCATCTTGTTTTGCTGCCGCCGTACTTAATTCCACCGCAGGTTAATATTCCCCCTTTCTCTCTCATTTTCCAGTCAGCAGCTTATGTGAAAACGGGTTCCCATTAATTACATTTATTTAAGAAGTGGATACTCAGAAAAAATTGATTGCCAAAGATCACCGCAGGCTGCACGTTAAAAAAAATAATCGGGGGATACTTAATCAACTGAGTGCACAGCTTCAAAGCCTTCCCCCAAGTGCTCGGATACCTCTTACTGTGACATTACTTGGAGCCTGCGTAGATCACGCTGACGGTGATTTGCGCCACTGGGATCGTCTCACTCGAGCTCAAACCCAACAAAGAGCTGTGTAGAATTATAAAAGGGTTTGATAGAAGGGTTAAAATAAATAGGCTGTTTCCGCTGGTTGGCGAGTCCGTTACCAGGGGACACAAATATAAGGGATCAAAAAAGAATTTAGGAGGAATTACTTCATGGAATGGGAACTCGCTGTCTGAAGTGGTGGCTGGATCAGATAGTACTATATCGATGCATTCAAGAAGAAGCTGGACCTTCACATGAGGGAGAGGAGAAGGGAAGGGTTGGTGAGGACGTAAGGAACGGGTGCAGACTCGTGTGGAATAGAAACACCAACGTGGATTGGTTGGGCTGAGTGGCCCGTTTCCTGCTGTACGTTCTTTATCAATCTTTGTAAATGGCTCTCCATGTGTAGGAGATACAGAAAGAAACCTCGAGGTGCGGTGCAAAGCCCAACAGGCTTTTGAGCGTGAGGCCACCTGAATGGTGCTGACCACCTGAGGGTGAGAGGAGAAGCCATTGGAGGAAACACGGTGGAGCTGATGAAGTAGGATTTGAACCTGCAAAGGACAGTCCTATTGAGGTGGGTGAGAGAGGAAAGGCGACCAAGGAGGATTAACCCCTTAACAGTGCCCCAGGTAGCAAAGAGAGCAATGGAGGTGGGGCACGCGGAGGGACAAATGGAGAGAACAAGAGGGTTCCTAGCAATAAGTAGGAACCCGGTTGTTAGTTGATGAGCGGATTGCTTTTCCGGGGATAATAATTCCTTCAAAATATATTTTTGTAAATAATTGGGTCACTCAAATCCACGACTTTGTGGGGACGCTGCTGTGCGCAATTGGCTGCCGCGTTTCGCCCACAAAATATACAGTCAATTCACTTTACGCTATATCCCGTGGAGCGCTTTGAGACGTCTCGAAGACGTGATGAGGCGCTGTATCGAATGCAAGGTAGGACCTGAGGGAAATGAGAGAGTGATTAGAAATAGCCTCGACAAAGAGAGGCTGAAGAGATGAGAGATACCTCACTCTGCAGTGGTTAGTGCAGGGATGGGGGTGGAACATATACCCAGGTGGGGTGGCCTCATTGATGGGGGAAGAGAGTGAAGTTTTGATTGAGAAAATGGGAATTTTCTCCCATTTTCATTAAACAGGGGGGGATGTGTTTGAGTGTCTGCCCAGGTACTGTTTGACGATGAATGCCATCTTCCCCTCAAATCAATCTTTTCTAATTCATGCAGCGCATTTATTATTTACAGCCAATATTTCAAGCGCTGCGATTCTTATTTACTGGGTTCTTCACTCCCAAAGCTTGAACTTTCTGGGGAATGTGCTTAATTGCACATATATTCTAACCCCAAGCCGAGGTGCGTGTATCCTGGATCATACTGCTTTATGTTTGGAAGTCTCCTGTGTGTTGAATTTCCTCTTTAAGCACAGGAAACGTGCACGTATGGAAAGCACGTGTGCAAACCCACGTTTTAAGGGTTCAACTGTTCTGCTGGTTGGCGAGAGAATGAAGCCTGCATTCCTGTTCACCTCTCTGCTCCATCGTGACGATTTTATAAACGAGTCGTTCTGATCCACCCTCAACACCATTCACCTCAGCAAAACGATGCTTTTTTAAATTTTTTTTAACAAATTGACTTATTACACAGCTAAAATAAATGCCAATTGTGGCTCGAAGGGACAGAAAGGAATGTAAAGAGGTTCAGTACATGAAGTGCTATTGGGGATTTAATGGTAATAATAATGATAATCCTTACATTTGATACAGCGCCTTATCACGTCTTCGAGACGTCTCAAAGCGCTTCACAGGAAATACACTGTAAAGTGTATTGACTGTGTATTTTATGGGCAAAATGCGGAAGCCAATTGCACACAGCAGCATCCCCACAAACAGTCCTGGATTGAGTGACCCTATTTATTTATTTTTTAATTATTTATTGTTTTGAAGGGCTTATTACCCCCGGAAAAGCGTTCTGCCAATTGACTAACAACCGGTGGTGGTGAGAAAGGAGGTGGTGGATTGAGTGACCACAGATTATTATTTATTTTTTGAAGGGATTAAGTGGATAACAGATGTAACAAAGAATCGTGAGAAACAATCATTGATGATTTTCCCGCAGTTTGTAAATCCGGGTGTTGTCCCAGAGGAAACTGGAGAATCGTAAATGTCATCCCACTGTTTAAAGAAGGAAAAGGGATGTTTTTCCATCTGGTGGAGTGTACCTAGTGCTTTGCCTCAAGGTTAGTGTCAGGATCTTTCTTGTTATCCAATACATATCAGTAATCTGGAAACAGCAGTTGAGGGAATAACGTCTGAATTTGCAGATGATATTAAATTAGGAAATATTAAGAGGGACAATGGGTACAGGAAGCTACGGACAGTT